GCTGCTCGCGGGCAGAAGCGATGTCGGGAGGGATTGAGCTTGTGTCCGTGGGAGAGTCCGGGACAGGGTTTATTTGCAAGAGGGCAAGTATGCGGGAAAGAGGAGCGAGTGCTTGGGTCTGGGGGTGCTGGGGGTTAATGGTGCCCTGGGGGGCTAACGGTGCGCTGTGAGAATACGTGGGTGCGTTTGCAAGGTCGGTGAGGGAGCTCTCGCTGGCTGATGGAAGAGTTTGCAGCAGGATGTTTGCGTCGGCGAACCTACGCGTGCACACGGGGCTGCAAGGCTGTGCCGCACCACACGGACTGCGACTCCAGCCCCTTTCCACCTCTGAACGCTCCCCAAGCCCCCCAGCCCCATCGTGTGTGGGGGCTGTGGGCCCCTACCTTATCACGAAGCTGTGTGCGTCGATCTCGGGGCCACAGCCGCTGCTGAGCAGGACCCCCGAGTTGCCCACGATGGCGCAGGTGGGGAACTGCTTGCCCTTGAGGGGCGAGGTGCGGGGCAGCAGCTCGTACAGGTTCTGCGAGACGTTCATGGTGCTGTCCCTGTCAAAGACGTAGTGGATGACGTCCCCTGGCTTCAGTGTCCCCTTCAGCACCGAAATGTCCTTCTCAGCATCCAGGAATTTCAGGATCTGTTTCCTGAGGACAGGGAAGGAAACAGCCCCATCAGGTGAGGTACAGAGATAATTTGGGTCATACATAAGATGAACTCTTGCCTCCTGCCTGCCCTTGCTCTGTGGGCAGTCCCAGCCAACTGATGCTCTCCAGGAAGATTTCAAAAGGTATCTCCATCCGTTAAGACGCCCGCTCCTTCTCCACCCATCCCTCCCTGGAGCAGGCCAGCATGGCCAGCCCACCAGTAGTGGGGGGATCCCTGCATATACCCTGGGTAGAGGGTCCCCTTCCCCGCTCCACGTCCCACCGCCAGCGCACACTACTTCCACTTGGCCTTATGGAAAGCCCCTTATGGAAAATGGGGGCTTAAGTGCTCCTTGTTTTGTCGTTGCAAGGCCAGCTGGTTCAGCCAGGAATTCATTTCCAAGCGATCGCTTACAGATATGAAGCCTAGCTCAGCAGGAGATAAGCCTTTTATTTCTTCCTCGACTTCCTTAGATGATATACAGAGGCAATTTGCCAGCTTGCACTGGAGAGGACCAAATCTGTCTCTTGTCCTATAGGTAATTACCAGTACCTGATCTTCAAAGAGAGTGTCTGGTTGTGTCTCCATTTGGATGAGGCTGGTTTAATGTTGTGCTTAATGCTTTCATTACTTCTGTCAACAACAGCTGGAGACGAAGAGTCATTTATTACTACTTCAGCTCTAGAGAAAAGAAAGATTGGGGAGAGGGAGAGAGACAGGATCCGTTAGCATCCCAATGGCACTTCTAATCACTGTCTACAGCTCTGGATGCTGGAATTCAAACTTCATCAGAAAGGCAAAATTGTAGTTATTAGCTAAACAAGAACTGAAAGCCTGTTTGTATTCTGCTACACTCAAGCAGACAGACAGAAATCCTTAAATACCCGCTCGCTTACCCGAACACAGACTTACAGCCAGGCACAACTCTACAGAAAACACAATCTTACACATCTAGCTGTTGAAATTGCATGCACACAAAAATGCAAGCAGGCTCTGCAAAGACAGGCTGGCAGATGTACACGCACAGACAAGACACCCCAGACCTCCCAAAATTCACCGAGACAGCTCCTACGCCGGCAGCCGCGGTTGCTGCCTCGTGGTTGCACATGAGCACCCCAAAGCGGAGCCAGCTCAGCTCCTGCAGCGGGTTAAAACCCTCATCAGAGAAGTGCAACCTTCACTTCACCCAAAGGAGAAATTAATTTAGCCGAGCTGCTGGGTGCCGCTTGTGAGACTGGGCTGTGAGCATCCCGTATCGAACAGGGGCTGGCTGGCTCGCCGGTAACTCTTCCGCCCGTTAGAAGAGAGCATGAGGATTTCAGGATCCCAGCTTTTAATCCCTGCTCTAAGAAGCAAATCAGCCCCAGCACTTCAGTGTCATTTACATCAAATGGCATGAATTAAGGGAGCCTCTGAATATTTGATTCCAGCCAGCCGTCCTCCAAAGAGAATATGTGAGCATCTCATCAAGAAGCTGTGCATGTGTCTGCAGCCCCGAAAAAACCTTCACACTTCAGAGCACTGAAAAATACACAGTCAAAGCACTCGCTGTCAGCTAGAGGGAATCTCCCTCTCTCATGCAAAGGGCTTTTCCAGCTGGGAAATGGTTTGTAAATAAATACTTTTATAAAAAACATGTAAACCCCAAGGAGGGTGAAGAAAGAGAGATGGGGCAGAGCTGGTGGTCCAGGCTCATGGACAGTATCCAGCTCCTGGGAGCACATCTCCAGCCCAGGGAAGGAGCTCCTGAGGATACACTGTGGCTCACACTGTGTAATGTTTCAGAAAGGCAAGGAAATGTGTTTATAAATGCTGACCGCCAGTGTCCTTGTGTGTGTTTGTACGGTACCTCTCCAGAGGCTTGCCAGTCGAGGCTGTTGGATTTGCTTGCGTCGCATTTTGCCACGTCACTTCGTGTCTTGCAAAGCTTACTTGTAAGGTGTCAAAAATCATAAAGGAAACAGGGTAGAGAAATCTTGGGAATAACTACGATTTTTGGGGGTTTGTCCATTTTCTGTGTTTTGATCAGTTGTGGTGACATCATCACAGAATGACATCACTCTTCCTTTCTTGCGTGGTGTCACTAAGCTTCGCAACCATCCCACTTGGTAATGCCGGGCTGATGTGAAATCATTGTAAAAATAACAGAGAGAGGCACTGAATGAAGCTGTGATGCCATGAAATGACTCTGCAATGGAGCGACGTTACTGAAGTGCATTACGATAAAAACCGACTGAAGTTCCCATGTCAAAGACAGCACGCTCTCTTCTAATAGCATGTAGTAAAACTACGAAAATGGCAACTCTATCACTGACTTATTTTCACAATAAGTAACTCTCTCCCTCTCATTCCCTCAATCACCGCAACTTGCAGATCCTTGGTTATTCACAAATGATTATTGCACTGAGCTGGGGGAGGGAGGGGGAGAAACGATTAAGAAAATGCAAAGCAGAAGTGAAAAGAAACAGATACATTTGCTAAATAAGAACAGCACTAGCCAGCGAAGAGAAGAAGCAGATTAATAGCTGCCTTACAGCAAAAACAAATGAACACAAAATCTAATTTACAAACCTATTAGATTTGCTATGTAAGCTGTTCACAGCTGATCTGATTGTACCTCTGCCTCCAGAACTCCTGCAAGACAAAGGAAATGCATTATTTATAAACCCAGCTCCTCTTTGCCACGCATTGTTCAACAGTCAAGAGATCCTGCTCTGATGGGCTCCGCACGGAGACACGGCTGCGCCGTTCACGTCCCACCCCATCCAGAAGGGAGACGTCCAGATGCCTGTGAAGGGCTTTTCACACCCATCGTCATCGCTGCCCTGCTATGACCGTCCCATCATTCCGGCAAAAAAGCTTCTAACCAACCCAATTAATAATACCTGCGCATCGAACCAGCCATCAAAGACATCTGGTCTCCGTCATCAAAGCAGCATGCAGCCTAGAGGCTGCATTAAATACATCTCTACCTTTTTTTCTTTTTTTACCAGTCAGGTGTTACCAGTGCATAGAGGTCTCCTCCATCACCAGGTTCCCAAGGCACCTCCCCTGTCCTTCTCAGAAGGGGACTGAGCTGAATGATCTGGACAGGATTCCCACCGCTGTTTTCAACTTGGTCTTTTAGTTCAAACCACACAACGTCTCCATTTTAGCCAGACTGAGCCACCAGCCTCCTGGGTGACTTGTGGAGATCTCGTCCTCACAGTGCACCTTCTCCCAGCTCCCGGTGACCCAGGCCAGGCCCACGGCCCCGTTCCAGCCCCCTCTGATTCCATGAGTGCCCTGAAGCTCCTTGTCCTCACCTTTCGAGTAACCTGGCTGAAGCCGTGAGGCCAACTCAGTGCAGTCACTTGCACGCTGGAGTTGACACCTCAAAGCGACAGCCTTGTCACTCCCATAGCCTGACACAAGGACGGGTGCCAGACCTGCCTGAGCAAGACCCGTGGGAACGGAGAGCCCAAGTTTCCAGCACCAGGCGCTAGGCTGATCCTATAATGAAGAATAGGTGGGACCAAGCCCCTTCAGAAACCAACGCCACTCGTAAGACCCGTCAATCCTCACTTAAAAATAAATACATACAAGTATTGGTCTGCATCTAGCTGGCTGCACAGCCCCTTCTTGCCATAGCTTGCTATTTTCAAAGGGGTCACAAAGAACCAGTCGCCCACTTTGTGATGCTCAGTGGGAGCTGGGCTTCAAGCCGCACACATTTTAACTGCCACGTGCTCATTGGTCTGTGTTATTGTTTCCATTGAACGGACATCAAAATGAACATGCTCATAAAGAGAACCAAATTCTTTATTGTTACCTGGATATATATACCTTAATGAAAATGTATCTCAGGAGCACGTACTTCTACCAGTCCTAATAATATCCCAAATGAATTAGATATAAATGAAAAAGAAATAAGAGTGCACCAACGTTTGGTGCCATCAAAAAAGATTTTCAGACTTGCGGGATGCGATGTAAATCCCTTCGTTAGGCTGAGCACAGCCCTCAGCACCACATAACAGCAAAGCCTTGGAAATGCCGTGACACTTGTCCCTTTCCTCCCTCCTGCCGGAGAGCATCTACAGCCAAGTCAGAGCGATTCCTGCTCCAACACTCTCCTCTTTCCTTTGACAAACCTGAGAGCCAGCGAGCTGTTTCATTTTTTGGTGCATCAAGGGAACAGCAGGACTAGCTTATTCCTAGAGCCTACTGGCATTTAACAAGCCTCCGCTTTAATGGGGTTCACTGCAGGGTGTGGGAGCAAACTGGATTAGTGTGCAAACCACGCATCCTTTCAGAGACATCTCCGAAGGAGCCTTCCAAATGGGATTCACACTCCTTCACACTTGCTGTAAGACGGATAGGGATTGGATTAAGGGCTTAGAAAAAGAAATGCTGCTCCCTGCACAAGTGCTGGTTCACAATCTCTGTGAAAGGAGAAAAAAAAATCACAGAAATTAGGAAGTAGAGAAGACTTGTTAGCTCCCACCTCATCCATGTTTTGCAGCTACAGCAGGACTGATCTGAAGCATCACAACATATTATTCAAATGCATTTATCCAATCTCGCTCTACATGCCCCCAGCGACAGGTCTGTGCATGTCTCCTTCTGAAATGAAGGCAGGCATCGGGGCTGGGGATGCTGGACATGAGGACGACAAGTTGAGAGCACATCTCCCAGGTCACTGTGAGCAGAGGTGGTGGGGAAAGTCGGCTGCCCAGACTCCCTGCTGAGCAGCCCCTTAGTGACAATTTTGGGTGTTACTCTTGCCCACACGCACGCTGTGAAAAGCAAAAGTTTTCAAACTATTGCAGTGGAAAGAGAGCACAGAGTGTTCTGCTGTCATATATGAACACAGAGGGGGCATCTCGTCGGTGGAGAGAGCAGAGCTCTGCTAGCCATCTTCCCGTGACTTGCTCTGTGGCACTGGGCTTTGCTGGCCACAGCCACCGCTACAGGGCAGCATCTGGCCCAGCAGTAGCCAGGATGCTCTTGGTGGACACCCGAGATGCTGGTAAAGACACTGCTCCCCACACCAGGCTTGGTTTCTCTCTCTGAGCCATGCAGATTGCCTGAAGCTGGGACATGTCACTTGGCTGAAGGTCTCAGCTGAATCCTAAAATGCTCCTGTGAATTCAAAACCATCAACCTTCTGGCCCTTTGTGTCCTACACTGCAACTTCTGGACACCTGCCCTACAATCTCCCTTTGCACAGACACAGACAACGTGCGCGGTTGTATAATACTATGGGCTGTATTGCCCTGTCCAGCCACCCTGCCCAGCTCAGCCCACCACCCCCAGTACCAGCCAGGCAAACCAGCTGCTCAAAACACCCAGAGTTTAGTCAACTGTGGTATTTTCCAAGGTCTGCCATACTTTATTACCAACACAGGCAAGCCAATATCACTGTAGTGCTTCACTTTGCCCCCTGGGAAGAGGAAAACATTAAGAAATGGAAGGCACTAATTAAGAGGCACATGTTAAAAAAAACAACAACAACAACAACAAAAGTCAGCCCATTTTATTATACCTTGCTGACCTGGAGTTTCAAATCTCTTGGCTTCAAAAGGCAAAGACCAACCTCGATTAAAATTGCACAGATAGGCATTGATTTTTAAAAGCTTTCTAGTGCTACACTGTGTTTAGATTGAATTGCCTTATTAATCTAGTTGTTATCAGTTTGATTGTATAGCCAGCTCCACAAAGTACCAACCTGCTTCCTAATCCTATTATTTACAAAATGCTCTTCTTTTGACTTCCGCTGGGATGTTTTCCCATGATAAGTCACATCTATATGTGCTAATGCCATATTATGGCTTATGACATCCTTTCTCATTTTTGCTTTGAGATTTTCAAGCTGAATTTTGACTATCTAAGACATTATATAGGTCAAAACATTCTGTGCTCAGATGTAAAGTGACACTGATTCTTATATCAGAGGATAACAAAGAAAAATTGTCTTATGGTTCAGGTCCAAATTTTCTTGGACAAATAATTTCTGACAAATCAGGTATGCGAAGACTTTTCTATTCACAGGCTATGAATGGGCTTTGTAGGGTTTTTGCTTCCTTTTTCATCGTTTCCCACTTCTTAAATGATACTCTTAATTGTTGCTAGGTACGGTTTGGTCTTGCTTCGAGCAATTTTGATACATGAAATCAAAGCTGCTTTGACTGAACAAGTAGGTCACACAGCCTCTTTGGGCGAGTGGATCTCTAAGAGTAGGCTTTATGCATCCATATTCTCAGGCTTACAAATTAAAAAATGTGTTTTCCATGGATATTTTACGACGCCCACCTCCAATTCCTGCTTCCCCCCAGCCTCTGCGGCAGAGGATACACAGGTGGGTGTACGAGAAGCATGAACTAGCCAGAAATTTCAGCCGTACCCAATCACTCATTTAGCCACATTGGTGGAGCCCATGTCCGGTAGAACAAAACCTCTGCTTCCTCCTGACCTGGGGCAACCCAAGCCTTCCTCTCCTCCCTCCTCCACAGAAAAAAGAGATAACAACATCGCTGTAACCCCTTGGAGGATTGTTAAACAGAATTCATTCATCTGAATTCCTGAGAAAGGGAGTTCAGAGCACCACAATTTTTATCTGAGTTCAAATGATTAACACCTACTAATTCAGTTTTCACAACCTGCTTTTGTGTTAGGCGCATTTTATGATGTGGGGGTGAAGTGGCTGGGCCCTTACCACCAAAAATGACAGTTTCACAAGCCAGGACAGGAGCAGGCACTATGGGCTTACGGCAGACCTGTCCCCTTGAAAATGCTGCTCCTTACTTGCTGAGAGCGAGTACAGCTCTCGCTGGGCGATTGGGTAGGACACGTCACCCAGGGGACCACGGGAACGGATCTGAAAAGGTGCTTTTCAGGCTGGTGAGACATGTAGCCATTGGTCTCCTGAAATGGCTGCAGGCTGTACCCATAAGGCAGTCTATATCTTTAAAAAAAAAAATAAAAAATTGCCATCTATATTTACTTTGCTTTTTAAGGGTGGCTCTGATGTTGTCCGCAAGACCAGAATTGCTATTTTCTACCTGAAAAGCACACAAGTGTCATGCCAGGCCTAGTCAGGGACCACCCTCCCAAAATCACTGTCCTCCCAACCCACGGGCTGTCCCCGAGGCAGCTGGGTGGGGAGGGGACGCGGAGCAGGATGCTCGCAGACCCTCTGCAGGATGCTGCTTCGTGGCCCGACGGACCCCGGCACTGTAGCTAACAGGTTTGGGGGAAGGAACACACTGCCCAGCCACCGAAAACGAGCTACAAACATAGATCGTCCCCCCGCTCCCAAACTCGGTACAGATTTTGCTCCTGCTGGCACTCGCAGTGATACATAACCCCGTGTGCATTCACAGGCGTGAGCCAGACCTCGCAACGCCAGGGACGAGCCGGCGCCTGCACGCCGCCTCGCTTGGCACGGGCTCGGATGCGCCGGCTGCCCTGGGAGCTCAGTGAGTTCCTTTGGCTGGCCAAGAGCAGCGCGGTCATCAAACTAAGCCGTGTGCTCCCCGAGTCCTCAAGGAAAAGGCAGGATTTGCTCAAGCCAGCGTGGCGAATTGTGGATCAGGATACGGGCTTCAACCCTCCCTCCTCTTCCCTGAGGTTCACGGTTTGTGTTGAGACCAGCAGAGCAGCGAACGCGACTGCAGGGCTTTGGGGGAAAACCGCCACATTTCCAAGTTGTCTACAAAAGGGAAATAATTGGCTTCCAAGTACCAACCTGTCCAGCCTGTCCCAGAGGGTGGAGAAGCAATCGCGTCGCAGGAACCCAAACTGAGCAGGAACTGACCCCAGAGGCTGGTCCCAGGATTACCCAGGGACTGTATCCTGGCTCCCTAACTGCACATCAGGGTCTTGCTGTAAAGATGGGAGAAGGCCACGTTCATCGGCAAGTCCCCTTGTGGGCTTCTCACTAGACACTCAAGTGGTTTCTGTGGGGTTTAGGTCAAAGCCCACCGATACCCATAAAACACTCTGCTATCACAGAAAAGACAAAAAACGGAGAGGAAAGGCTTCACTGCTGGTTAGCCTCACACGTACTCAGCCAGCTCACAAACTGGAAACGAAAGCCAAAGTCAGGTGAGAAGTGCTGGGATCAGAGATGCATTTTTGACCCTGGAGATCAGGTTCTTGAACACAGCATCGTGCACCCTTCCTAACGCCGGTCTTCCTCCATCCAGAAACGCAGCTCTTGCAGGCTCCTTTCTCGTCTCGCCTTCCTGCATCGCATTTCATGACGCACCAGGAGGATCCAGGACACTGGATGTGTGTGACATTTCACCCGTCGCTTTTGAGGCTTTCATCCAGGGGTGTGGTGGAGATTGCAATTAAGAGAAGTGGTCACCGTTGGGTAGCCCTGTGTACCCGCACTCTCCTGGCAAGCAAGGTTCCCTCTGTAGGGACTAATTTGCAAGAGGTTTCTAAAGCGTTTGTCTGCTAGGATGAAAGATCCTGCAATGCATCTTGATGAGACGTTTGAAATCTCACTTCGATGTGTTTAAAATCTCACTTGTTCATATTGTCACAGCTTGGCAGCCTGAGTGTCAAAAACTTCCTAAATATCAGGTGCTATTTTTACTGCTCCAAGTTTCATTCTTCTGTCGAGTCAGACGACCACATTTGGGAGAGTGTGCCCATATCATGGCTTTCAGGAAAAGCACCTTGCCCCGCTGGGGTCCCAAGGCAGCTCCAGCGTACGAGGGCAGCGCTCGCGCAGTCGGGCTGGCAGCGCAGCCTCTCCCAGCAAGCCGAGGAGACCCGGTGTGAAAGCGCCAGCCGACGCCATCGCTCTTGCTCACGGCGCTTGCCTTTACCCGCCACGGGGAAAGGCAGATCTGCCGGTACGATGCAAACCAGCCTTGCTTGGTCGCTCCCTGCCATGCCCCAGTCCCACCTCCCTCACGTCACCCATCCTGCGGGCTCAGGGACTGCAGCAAGATGGGAAGGTTGGAGGCACTCCGCAGCCCTACCCGTCGGGTGGTAACCGTGGCTCCACATCAGCTCTCACGTAACGGAGAGCAGCGTTTGGCCCTGAGGTTTCTGCCTGGCTGCACATCACTGTCTGTAACCACCGCACGCGTACGCCGAGGATGCAGGAGTCAAGACGCATGGGTTTGCAAAACAGAGACACCTATTGCTTAATAGGGAATAAGTCAATTAGGCTGAAACGCTTATGTGACAAACCCAGTGAAGAATCCGCAGGAACGGCACCGCTCCGACGACTGAAGGACACGAGGCAACGGGAGGGATGCCCGCGGCAGCCTGCCACCAGGACGCTGCCCTGGTGGGGATCACTCTGCCCTGGGGTAACCAGAGCACCACAACCAAATCCCTGTCCCTGCCTTGAGCCACCTGCCCCGAAGCTGCTGTAAGGAGCAGGAGGATGCTCAGAGCAGCTGGTTACTGCTGCCCGGCAGGAAGCCATGGCCCAGGACTTTCGGGCTCTGCCCCGAGCCAGCACGCTCCTTCCTCTGAGCCAGAAACGTCCCTCTCACACCTGTAGAGCATCAGGTCTCACATCCACATGCATTCACCATAACGCCAGCACCGCCTGACTCGATCACCCCGTGATGCTCTTGTGTTATCACTGCTCTGAAGACAAAAATACTCACGCGCTTGTAGGGCTCAAATGTCACACGCTTCTCCTCTCCCATCCTGAGTACTGGCAGGACCTTCTTCATTCCTTCATCTCAGGTCTTCCATTAGAAGTTTATTCCTGGCATTGGTTCAGTTTCTTTGGCTGTTTTAATGAAACAGCCAGCAAAGAAAAAGACATTGAATCAGGCAAAAAGTATCTAGTGAGGGGCTTGGGACTGGGAGGTATGCGTGTTTGTGTATTTAGCTTTCCCCACCAGGAAAGGAGAAGGAAAAAACCCCAAGAGCCCTGCAAAGACCTAGAAAGGAGCTGAGACAAAAGCCTCACTGCTTAAAGAACATGTCTATGCTATACATTTTTCCTGAGATAGTTTTTTCAGCCAACAGAGCAGAGCTATCAGGGAGTGCAAACAGCAAAACATCAGTCTTGCAGGAGATCCTGTCAACCTGAGCATCCGCGTCCCAAAAGGCAGAAATCCCAGTGGCTCCTGCAGCATCTCGGATGCCACATATCTTGGGAAATGGGAATGGTGCAATATGAAAAGATATCGTGTCTGAGGGGCTGTGGGTCCTCGGGCTCATCTCCCACACCCATCTCTTGCCTACTTTTCCCCCTGCTCTGTGCAGCCCCTTGGAATACTTAGGGTCTCATGTAGTTTCCTCTTCCACTGTTGATGTGGATGCTGAGGACTTCTGGGCATCCTCCTGAGGTGGTTCTTCTGTACGAGCATCCTCAAAAAAACATCTGGTGCCTACACAAAGAACGCT